TCGAACACAGTCAAAGTATTCAAGTTTGCATAATGCTCTGTAGTGGACACCATACAAGCATGACAACCGGCCATATTCAGACTGGCTCTCAGCAGCTTTAAGCCTTTCACAGTTCCTGTTATGACTCACTCTGTCCCTCTTGGGCCATGAAAGGCGGTCCTGAAATCCTGAGAAGTCCTTCTTTTCCCCAAAGCCTCCAGTGAAAAGCTTAAAACACTTTGAACATGTTCTATTTGCAGAGTGTCCCACAAAGCCACAGGCTTTACGTGTTGCAGGGATGTCTGCTGCAACACAAAGTAAAGCAGCAATTACTCTAAGTGGAGCAGAAGAAAGGCTGGTGGACATTAAAACTCCTCTCCACAGTCCATTGAGTTCATCCACACATGGATCTAAAAATGTATGCAACTTTGGCTCACTATCCAGAGATGGGATGATTCCTCCCAAGATAACATTCTCAAATTTGAATCTTTGAGACCAAGGTAAGTTCATAATAACAAAATAAATAACACCAACAGAATAATCACTTCTTTGTTTAAATGGTTGGAACCAATCCACATTTAGCATAAGTCCATATCGGCGCTCCAGATTGAAGAAGTGACTACCATCTTTCCACTTGAAATTCTTCCACACTTCTCCATCATAAACATCACTAAGCACAGACTCTTCAACTTGCCTTGTTCTCCACTGTTCACAAAGTTCGGGAATTCCTGTTCTTTGCAGAATGCTTTCTAGTTGACTAATAATGCTCTTCCAACAATACACTTTCAAAGGATAAAACTTAGTAGCGCCATTCTTGAGGATAACTTTATTGACAAGCTTACTTCCACAGTGCTTTGCTTTCCCAAGGGGAAACAGAATGTTACTGCACTTCTTTGGGAGAATTGTTCCATACTTTCTTTCGAGGCATTCATCCAAATGATACAGCTTTGCACATTTGGAGCAGACAACAAATTTTTCAAATTCATCCCTATTCAAATTTGAAATCCTATGCAACATGTAGATGGTAGTTGGAAAAAGCAGCATCAAGTTACTGAAAAACTCAGAGTCCAGTCCAAAACTTAAGGTCTGAAGAAACCTTCCCAAAAATGCAAGAAGCCACTTCACAGCTGCATCACTTACATGGGTAACAACCTGCCAGTACATGATGAAACAACAGAGCCAATGAATAAGTTCATTGACAAATGCAAAAGCCAGGCTAGACAGAACCTACAAAAATAATTTGACCCCCCATGCCAGGGCAATGGCTAAGCTAAGGAGTGTTGGTGGCATGTCGGAGAGGCCTGCACCTGCTGGCCCACTTTGGGCTGTCAGGCAGATAAACAATGAGTCGTGATTGAAAAAATACTTAACACTTTTTCTACTTTTTATTCATTTATTTATCATGTATTTAATGGCAAACTGAAGTAATTGTTTTGTTAGAACAAATTATTGTCATGTAGATCACAGGGATAGTTTCTTCCAAGTATTGTTAAATTTATTGACTTATGATGGGGAAAATTTGTTGCTGTCAAGCATAAATAAGCTAGGTATGTGTGACATTTTAACCCTTTAACTCCCAAGATCTGATTGGTAATTATCCTCTCCAGCTGCTACATATTTCCCTGTAACTAAGTTATGAGAATCTGGTGTTAGATCAAGACAAAGACCTATAACTGATAAGTTCGAGAATTCTCATTATCTCTTTGCTGGATAAGGTATGGATATTTTAGGGAGAAGTTACTTGTTACTCACTCCTGGGAGTTAAAGGGTTAATTACAAATAGGCAGTAGCTTTAAGAATGTGTACCAGTGAATTTAAAATAAAAGAAACTTGAAACATATATTGTTTAGTGTGATACGTGACCTGGTGGGTGGCAGTTTAGTAATGAAACAACAAAACAATAATATTTCACTGATTTCACAAATTTGATTCAAAACTAAAATAAGCAACAAATTTTGAGCAGATTAATTTGCATTAAATGGTACTTTGACAACATTAAATGTTTAAGTTCTGTTTACTTCAATTAAGCAGTACTTAAGCATACAGGAATGTTTTGGACACATTTAATGTGAACTTAAACCTACATTAAGTTTTAGCCTTAAGATAGTATAAGCCAGGTTTAAGTCCAACTTAAATCTAAGTATAAGTGACTTAAACATCAACTTAAACTTATTAAACCTGAGTTTAAGACAGGATTAATCCATGTTTAAGGACACCTAAATATATCTTTTCTCCATGTGTGACTTTCTAACACATTATTATGTCCGCAAGATGAACCACTGAATAAGACTAGGGGGCTTATCGGTATGCGGGTGCTACCTCAGGGCGCCTATTCTTCTTCTTCTTCTTCTTCTTCTTATTATTATTACTAAGAGCCGAATCCCACTCTCTTACTTTAAAACATTTTAAAACAGAAACCTCTATTTAAAAAACAGTGGATAATGGATAGGGCGATGTTCCACCACGAACAAAAGACAAACAAAACAATAACTATTAACCATCCCTCGATATAACGTACATTTTGGTTGTTTTTCCGCGAATTAATTCGTTAAATCGAGGTTCCACCGTAGCGGTGTTTGGAGAATTTAAATCCCATGTCGCAGAATCGTTATGGACCTTACGGTCAACCGATGAAACTGAAAGGACTGTATTCCGTCATCCAAGGTTTATTTTGCGCTACAATAAGTAGTTTTTCAGCAGTTTACGAGTAATATAATCTTACCCACTCGTATGTCAATTTACCAGTAAGATTCAGTTCTTGTTTCACAAAATCACGTTTTTTCCCTAGTTGACCTAGTTATGCGCGAGTCATACACGTGGATTTACATCACATGAACTTTGTTTCACGTTATAAAAAGTGGTTGGCCCGCCCCCATCATTCCAGATCACTATCTGAGTTTCGTGTCAGCAATTATAGAAGTTCCCACCACCTTGCTTCTCAGAAATCATGTTTAAATAATTTGAATTTCGTCTGAAGAAAAATATTAATGATTGGACTGTATTTTTTTTGAGTTCCTAAGACCTATATAACGTTTTCTAAACACAACACGCAGCTGTGTAGTTTCTCTTTAACAAATAGAGAAGCCTTGGCTGTGCTCTGTTCTGTTATAAAGCACGCAGGAAGCGGCTAGAGCACGAAAGAAGTGTAGGGAGAAACACGAGACGTAGTCGAGTGTTTCTCCCCACTTCTTGAGTGTTCTAGCCGCTTACTAAGTGCTTTATAACAGAACAGAGCACAACCAAGGCTTCTCTATTTGTTTTATAATAAAGAATCCATTAAATTCCCCGAGCATTACTTTCAATTTTCAAAACAAACTTTATTTCCAAAGCGAACAACAGTGTCGTCAGCATGCCCTATACTCTCATAAAGCACGCTACAATAAGCCAATCAGAATCCCTGTTAGAATGGTTCAAATAATCTGATTGGCTGTACAAGACTAAAGCTGTCAAAAGTGTCAAACCATCAAAGTTAAAAAACTATCAAAGTTCACCTTCTGCGATAGTTTACAAACTAAAATAGTTCGGTAGGTCGAATTTAACACTTTTGCTTGAATTTTTTAAGGCTCTAATACAGAATCTTGAAGTGAAATGTTCAGTGAACTTCAGCCGAATTATGGCAAAAAAAACACGCGAGTTTTTTCATATGACAAGGTAGAAAACAAACTGTTCAGGGCGAGTGTTTTTTGAATGAACGACAGCCAAATTCACCGGAACATGAAGATCGCTCGGGATGACAGCGTCGCAAAACTCGGCTGCAATGACAGATGTGACTTTCCACTCAACGCATCGGAAAGGATACCAGAGCAAGCTCTTATTTTTCCACTCGAAGGGCGGCCGATGTAGTTTCTGAGGCTTGCTGTGATGACCGGAGATCGCCATGATGAGCGAGCCGCGATGGACTTCAGCATGATCATATTCGCTCAGACACCGTCATGATTAGAATGAATTTTACCAGTTATGCCAGTTTGGTTATATTTTTCATCATTTCTGTTTTGTTCTGTTTTGTTTTCGAACACTGAACTTTATATACTATATGAGTGTTAGCTGTGTTTGATTTTTATTTCCGTACGTAAGCTTGCAATCTAACTGAGCGTGAATCAATCTTTAAAACCTCGAATGTCTATTTTGTTTTTCCCTTGAGGATTTTCGTATCTGCTCACGTTTTAATAACGTAAATTACGGCGCCTGGTATGTTTACAAACCTTTGTTTGATTCTTCTGTTGCTACCTGTCGGCTCGCTTCAGTTCCGAAATTTCACTTTCAATTATCGGAAAAAAGCTAAAAAGAAGTCCCGGAAAAGCTCAAACATAGTACAGTTTGGCAGATGGCGTGACAGCTTTAGCTCAGCTCTATGCTCTATACTCTCATAGGGCACGCTCTTTCAACCAATGACAGTGCGCGTTATATCCGAACTTTATTATAATACTTAATCAAAAGCGATCTAGATGATAAGGAAGCAATTCTATTACCTCAATATCTTTAACTTATAATTATTTCGCAATTTGTTAATAGGCCAGACGAAAGGAATCGGAACGAATAATTCTTTGAAACCTATTCCGAAGACAAGATCACGTCGTAAAATGAATCTTTATTATTTTTTTAAATTTAATTTATTCACCACAGTTCAACAAATACAAACCACTAGTCTACATAGCAGTTACAAGAAGGGAAAAATTAAGTGGAGAAGCAGGAGGGATAGAACTTTTGTCCCAATTGAGACCTAACCCCTATAATACGATAAAAAAGAAAATGTATAGACTAGAATGGGTTTACAAAAAAGCAAGTCAATTTAAGTTATAAAATACTGACTTGGAGGACTGTATGAGACGAGTTTAGAAAAATATAGGTTATTTAATTTAGATTTAAATGTTAAGAGCGAGATTGTAATTTCATATTGGGTGGAAGGGTATTCCACAGTCCTGCACTCCTATACCAAAAAAAAATTTCGGTCTTTACTAGGTCTTGGTAAACCCTTTGCGGTCAAGTACTACTTGACCGCAAAGGGTTTACCAAGACCTCATCCACGTCCGCGACCCGATCAAAAAGCACATACACTTGCTTTTATTGTACGTTGTTTTTTGTTTTATTCTGTGTTTATTTGCAGGTGATTTCTCTTTCATCTAGAATTCAATATTCCAACAGCCTCCAGCAAATGCTAGAAATTTTTTATTTAAGAGGTTTGGAACTAAAAGGATATCTTTATTGCAGCTGATTTTGAGGAGTAACTTGTTAACTGTTTATCAGTCACCAATGCTGGGCTATCCAACATAATTGCGGAAATTGAAAGTGAGATCCAGCTTGTCAAAGTCTCGAATCGCGCCATTTGGTTTAAAAATCAGCTCATAACGACTCTCAGTTAGAAACCTACAGTGTCCCATTTATGATGTTGGTGACATGACACTGTCGTGAAAATCTGTTTAAGAATGCCTTCCTCCATCGTATATAGCGAGAGGAAAAGATGCGGTGAGAGACAACACACAAAAGGACACTGGCTTTCAGTAGGGATTTTCATCATTGGGTGGAAATAACAAAGGAAAAAATGATCGCAATTTATTTGAAGTCCCACTGCACATTACAACGAATTCCCAATAGTTTGTGTCCACGTAGTTGCTTTTGCTATGATCGGTCTCAACGCAGACATTGTGACAAGTATAGCTTCCTCTGTTCGTATTGTCCCACTTCCCTGACCAGGACAAGTGTTCACATAATGATCAAACACCAGAGATGGATCGTTCGCCGGTACAGTTTCGTCTGACTCTAAACTCGTCTCCAAACCTTTCAATCCTCCAAACATTACCAATAAATGTCTTAAAAAAAAAGGCAAGTAATAAATCGATTTGCGAAAGAATGAGCTCATGCATAAAAGCAGAAATAGCTATTTGGGAGAAGAATGCATTAGGTCCATGTAATTATAGGAAATTATAGTTGTAATTTTTCTTGCAGTCATTTTCGGCAAAAGTCTAACTCTTCACACCCTAACATCAGTATGCATATTCTTCATACCGTTCTTTACAGATTTCCTAAGCTGCTGAGAAGGAGAATCTAATTAAAAATCAAGAACCTTTTAAGTCAGTGATAATTCATCTTATTCTTGTGAAAGTGTGATTCTTTCTCCTGTCCTGGAATGCAGTTTCTCCAAACCACCAGTAGTTATTGTACATATAATCATGTTTGATTGATAAAAACTTTTTTACAAATCAAATTTGTTCACTAAATGTACCTAAAATTTGTCAAGACTAGATCATCTACCATAGTGCCCCTCTCTGAAGTTCCTATTGTGACATCATAACCATCTTTGTATGGACTCTGTGTAAACACTGCTCCAAAAGATGGTGCCAGTCTCACAGTATATCCCCAGTATAGGCCTTGCTCTGTTCTGGGGGCACTGGGAGACACCACTGTTCCAGTATAAAACTTTGTGCCTGTTAAATTTTTAGCAGAAAAATAAACACAGACAAAATGTCACCCTTGTTTGGTGTACTTACTCATTTTTGAATTTTTTATTCAAATACCAAACACAACATTTATGTGAAGAGTACCTCCTACACATGTTTCTATGCAGTGTTACTTTAATTCAGATCTGGCTTATTTGCCATATGATTGAGATGACTGCAAAGCACAGAGTAAGGGTGCATGTGTATTTTTCATAGACGGTTCTAACTTATATGTCATCTGAATGGTCTGTCCAGCTCTTTAGAGAATCAATCAAATTAAATGTTTATTTTTTTAAGAGAAAAAAGTCAAAGATGAGATGGTCCAATGGTTAGCTCCCTGGGCCCAGCTGTTCACTAAGTGCACTAACCCAAGATTAAATTTAAATCTGGGCTTGTTTATTTCTTTGTTCAAATGCCTTTTTGGGACTATTTTCTTTGTTCTTTTTTAGAGCATCAAATAATCAAATCATAGATGAAGAGAATTGGACTGAATTTTCTTTTAAAGCTTTCAAATCTGAAACCAGATTTCACACTAACCCTAGGTTATCTTAACCCAGCTTTGAACAACCCAGCCCTGAACTTCATATCATTTCAGACTTTAAGAGCAGATAAAAAGTTTGAGAGGACCATGATTTTGTCAAGGCACTATTCATCAGGGTTAGTTGTGTACATGTAGAATTTTCATCAACCTACTACTATGAAACAAAAACTAAAGGAAAAAGACAAACTTGAAGCAGGTAAATTTGTGTACATTCACACACCTGAAGTGTTATTCATCTTGACAGTGACTCTCAAACCTGGTTTAATGGTTCTATCGATTCTCACTTCTTTTCTCATTCCAACATTCACAGATGAACCATAACCTTTCCTGGCTGGTCGTTCAAGAACTACTCCTTCCCTGTATGGCATATCATCATCCACTTTCATGTGATGTGGAGTATCCAAAGGATTTAACAATCCTAAAGGGTAAATTGAAATCTAGTTAATACTATGATGTTAAAAAATAGTACACAGTGTGTTAGTAGGTAACATTGGAAGTGTACTCAAAAGGAATAATCAGCAGACAGAAAACATAAATAAAAACCATAAGCAAGGTAGAAGAAGGGATGGAAAAACCCTCAGCGACTTCCATAAGCTGTTAGATTCTCCTTCCAAAGTGTCTCCAATTCCCTTGTGAAACAGAGAGAGAAATGCTAGGTAGATGCATCAAAGTCCATTCTGTGCACCGGCTCTCTTGAAAATATTTTTAAAAATAATTAAATGTATAAGAAAATTTTGCATCATACAGGAAACAAAAGAAAAATATTTAGAAAAACATTGTGCAAAAAAGAGTTCTTTTACCACAGCGTCTGAAATAAATTGAAGATATGGCATTGACTTTAAGAAGTCCTATAATACTGCATATGCCATTTACCTGCATATTGCAAGTCACTGTGTTTTGGAAAGAAGTCTTTTCTGAGGTACTGGGGACATTCCAGATATTGAAGTATCCTTGCCAGCAAAATATTGGGGTCTGATTTGTGGTTTATTCCACTGCTAGATTCAATCTTAGCTTTTCCTGACTCGTCAAAGACGACAACTTCATCTATACTGAAAACTGCTAGAGCACGAGCAATCTATGGCAAAACACCAATAGTTATATTAGCCCACATTTGTATAACACTTAGAGCAAGAGCAGAGCACTGAACAGTAAAATCCTCATCAAGAATGGGTAACAGTTTTATTTTGTGTCAACTTGTATACCACAAAAATCTAGTGTCTGAGGCAAGAAATTATGTTTTAAAAAGCTTTTAAAGGAGTAGTCAGGGTAGTTGTAAGCCTTCTTATACTCCATTGTTAGAGTGAACAAAATTTGGATCATTTATGAAGGTCAGTTGCAATTTAAATGTAGCCTTTACATGTAGTCTTTCTTCACACAAAGTAATTGCAAACTTATACTACATTGGCAAAAAACAATCTAAACAGTCTATTATTCATTTCAAGTAGAGATTTTGACTTTGTCATATATCAAGTTCCAGCATTATAAGTGATAATAATTACTTTTTTCTAGATTCATTTGACACTTGCAATTGTATCTTTACATTTGTAAATTTTACCTCTTACAATCAAATTAATGGAGTCTTCTACCAAATGTACAATATATCCTTTAACCATACCTGGCCTGCTAAGTATGTCCTCAATTCTGGTGATTGTGCATTATCCATAATAGAGCCTGGGAGGGCAAGACTGACAGTAAAGTAACGACCTGAAGGACATTCAACAAAAGCTTTCAAAAAACCTTAGACAGAGAACCAGCTGTATCACCATGAGTGCTATCAGGTTTCTGATAAAAAGTGAGTGTGACACAACAGGGCGTGAAATTGCGCCTAATACAGGTGCCAATGCGACTAAATTTTTCACTTTCAATTAGTAACCAAATCCTGAAAATTAGTCACCAAATTGGTGATTAGAATGTTTCATCATAACCTCACAGAGAGATATAGTGAATTAAAAAGATTTGCAAAGATAAATCCACAGCAAACTTTCTTGTTAACTTTGTTTTTAAAATGCAGCACATGCATCTCGATCAATAATTAGATGCCACCTTGGATTTAGGTGAGCTTGAACGTTGTATATCATCCATGTTAAGGATCTTTTCCCTAACTTAATTTTAGAGGGTCTATCTAGAATGCTGAAAGCGTAAAAAAAGGTTTTGTTTGTCTTTGAAAATGACAACCAACTTTTTTTTAATTGGCTACCACTTTGAAGAATTCAGGAGCCCAGTGGCTATCAGAAAAAAAAAAGTAATTTCACGCCCTGCACCAATCAAGCAGGTTTACATCTTGTGAGAGTAGGAGATTTCCAAGCATTCAGTTGAGAATCTCTCAGAGTAGGTTAACCCTTTACATCCTAAGATCAGTATGAATAATCTCCAAAATGCTCTTTATACATTTCCCAAAGATGCTGACAAGGAGAATTAGTTCAATAATCAAGAGTTTCTTTAGTTGGTGGTCATTTCATTTATTCTCATGATCTTAATGTATATAATTCAGGGGTGATATTAAAAGGAGAAAACAGATGGTTGTCACTGTTAGGGGTTCAAGGGTTAAGAGTGAAAAGCCTGGTAGCCTATTGCTTTTGCAGTTATCCCACTTTCTGTAGCACCTGGGTGAATATTACAGTTGTTCAAAGGAGATATTGCAGTGCTCTGTCTTGCTTCTTGTGAGAGAAATCTGTCTCAACTAAAAGCTTTTAACATTTTACACCCCAACATCAGTATGCATATTCTTCATACTGTTCTCTTTACATTTTCTAAGCTGCTGACAAGGAGAATTTGTTTAAAAATCAAGAGCTCCTTTAACTGGTGATTATTTCTGTTATTCTCATTCTCATAATGTGTGATTTAGGGGTGATATTTAAGGAGAAATTAGATGCTAATCTCTCTAAGGGGTCTAAGGGTTAGAAGTGGAAGCTTTAAAAAAAGGTGTATTACAGTTGTTTGATCATTGCAAGCAACCCCAGTGATTTATCAGATCAATATCAGTATCTGGGCAACTGCCCACCTACCCCTCCCCTAACCCAACATTAACCCTGACTTGTTATCAATTGACTGTTGTTGAGTTTGGGGAGGGGTAGGTGGGCAGTTGCCCAGATACTGATATTGATCTGATTTATCTAGTTTCTCCTGTAGTATTTTAGTATCAATTGGTCTTGTCTCTCAGTTAGTATGTGTACCAGTATGTGTCCTATGATTAGTGGGTCCCATTTCATTGTATGGCCTGCCAAATTCAAAATTTTGTTTGAGTTGTACTGTTTCCCCTTTATTTGAACCCAGAGATATAATAAACATCCTACTAACCTTATTTCCTCAGTCAGTATAGTAAATTAGAAAAGCTCAATTTTTCCACTCTGATTTATGGCCGGTGCTCATCCCACCTAGGCTACAAATCTGAGCGGAAAAAAAATGAGGTTCCTTAACTTACTCAAAGAATTGAGGAAACTAGGTTAGTAAGAGGTATTTATACTGCTTAGTGGGGAGAGGTACCGTGAATTCAAAGTAGAATTTATAGTTTCATACCCCCCCCCCCCAAAACTGGCAGCCTTCAAACCCAGACCTTTTGATCCGGAGTACAACAATATATCCACCTTGCCAAAGAAATTCCCTCCTCTATCTTGTGAATCTGTATGACATGAGCTCTTTTCTGACCTGTAGTCGTGGTGCCATTGGCATCTGTTTTATGTATCTTTGACTCTACAGTATTTTCTTGTTCTGGAGATGAATCCCTCCTCCTCTTCTCAAGCTTGAGTTTTGCTGAAATTAAGAATTACCACAAAGTTAATTTTAAGCTTAAGAAGACAGTTTTATCAAAGAAAAACTACAATAGACGGTATAACTTCTACTACAACGCCAAGTTTCATCAAAACGATGGCGTTCAAAGAAGATAGACTACAATTTCTGAGCTTACGATTAAATATCGATTTTCGAAAGTATGGATGGTGGTGTAGCATGAAAGCTTAAGGTTACACGTAAGTTAAATTTACTATGGTAAAACACGCTATTATGTTAACCGTATATTCAGACTCCTTGACAATGCCACCTGATAAAAAAAACAAAAACAAAAACAACAACAGCGACAGCGACAGACACACCTTTCTTTTTCATCTTCTTTTTGTGCTTTCCTTCTGCCTAGAGGTTACAGCAAAAACAATCAGATTCGAACTCAAGGTACAACTTAATTCTACCAAAATATTTTAGTGTTGCCATCTCACCTCGTCCGCCATCTTGAAAATTTGTCTGTTTTAAGGAATTGTGGTCTATTCACTTTACCGCTGACAAACAAACCGAAGTCATTGCGGTTGTAAGTTTAGCTGACGAGCCGACGATTCACGTGGAAATAAAAAGATCGAAATTTTGACCAAAACTTGAAAGTTTTTGGATAATCTTGAGCAAACGGATGCCAGCCATCGACAAAGAAGCCGAGTAAGTGCTTTTAGCTTTCTTTTTCTGAGAGACTAAGTCTTTATTTAAACGTTTGACTCAATGCAAAAGTTTTTAGGTTTCAAGATGGCTGCCTGAAAATATAACTTGTTCCTTTGAAATTGTTAAGTTCTACATAAGCTTTTGTCTGTCCTGGGTTTATAGGATGTCTTGACTTTTTTCTCGCTAGAAACGTCCAATGGCTCTTTGTAAATGTTAGGCAGCACAAATTCCTGATGTAATAAGCATGAATGATTATTCTTGTTTTTCCAGTGAGAAGCCAAGTTGGGCCGATTTGGTAGAGGAAGGGGAAGCAGGTAAAACACTTTTAAAATGTGATCTGCTCGTTCAGTGTGGCCAGTTTTATGCGTTTTTTCTCACAAGGCTGGATTTATTTTTAAAGGTTTTACGTTTTTGATAATATGATTTTTATCATATTTTGACCTTGGGGTACACATTTACTTTATATCTGAATCGGATGCCTTTGACATAAGTTATCTTGGCAGTATTCGGAACATTGTTCAACATGGTTTCTTTGGAATGATTGAGGTTAATATTCAGTTCAAACTTCTTTTTATTTATAAAAGCTAACCAAAAAAATTTACTTATTTTTCTACTCTGACTCAATCTTTAGTTCACTGAAAACTGTAACTGTGTTCTTGTCTCAACTTATGTGTGACAATTGCTTTGTAGACCACATACCTCCTCCAACAGAAGTCATCAATGGAGACACAAAAATCGTAACAGAATTTAAAAGAAATGAAGAGGGAAAGCTTCTAAAGGTTAGTGTCAGAAAAGAGAACAGTATTGTTTACAGAGCACTTAAAATGTGGCAAACAGAGTTAAATATATTTTTTACATACACTGATTGCAGCTGCATCAAACTTTTGACTGTCTGGTAGAGTACTTGGCAAGATTTCTTTATAACTGCATACTTCATTATTCGTACTGTTATTTGAAAAGAATCAGAAAACAATAGTTTACCTTTTAGATCAATGCTTTGTTTAGAACTGATTAGTATGGGGTTATATGGAAATCTCTTCAAGTAATTTCCTTAAACAAACCAATCTCCCACTCTGATAGTGCCTTTTTTAACCCTTGTGGAATTTACCTTGGTCATTGTGGATTTTTCCTAGAAGTGTAAATTTAGATTGCTAGACTTTTTTCAGAGCTTACAATTTTTCTCCCTTAATTTATCTCTCTTAGATTGTGAGGACTTTCAAAATTGAAACGAAAAGAGTTTCTAAGACAATTGCAAAGAGAAAGGTAGCAGAGTTTGATTTTTAAATGTACTATGTCATTGAAAGGCTGTTTGCTTTTTTTATAATGTGTTTGTCATGGTCCAGTCTTTTCTAAAAATGATTCTTTTTATATTTCAGTTATGGAGAAAATTTGGAGATGCAAAGAATGATGGTCCTGGTCCTAATCCCTCTACAACAACAGTTACTGATGATGTGTTCCTTATTCTCACCACAAATAAGGAGGTAAACGACTAAACCTCAGCAGGTTTCTTGTATATGGCTGTAGTAACTGTATGTGACAGTTTATGAAAAGGAGTTGCATACCTGCCTCATGAAACATGCCTGTAGACACCTTTTTCTTAAAGAAAACATTTGAAATCACTTGTCCTTAAGTAAGGTAGCTTTACATTGTGGTTAGCTAGATGTTAAGTGTGATACATTTATATTTTTTGGGATCTGGCTTAAAATTTTTTTTCAATGAATTCGGTACAAAAAGCTGTACTTGGTAGTTTTAATGCTCTTCATCAGCAGTGCATCTGGAAAATGATAAGGAGGATTATTAGAGTGTAGAGGAAATGATGTTGTAATTTGCGCCAGACTGTGGTTTGTGGGAACAGACTGCCATCTGTTCTTTACCACACCACTTGGTTGATGACAAACTCACTTCTGATCCTCTTTAGGACGTAGTTTGGTTGGATCATGTCAAAAGTCACCATCAAGAAAATTTTTTTTTTGATTTACATCCTTTTTTTAACTTTCACCAAACCCTTAACAGGTTGGAGTCAAAATTATATTTAATGAATTGAAAGCTTATAACAGAATCTTCAGAGCTCTCTGTTTCTCTCTCTATAAATGCTTTAAAGACACTAAGCCATATATGTTTGTTAATTGAAAAGTTTTCAATCAATCTGTCTTTTTCTTTTCTCTAGGACCTTCAACAAGATAATGATGACCCACTGAAAAAGTTAGGTCAAAGTTCACAGAAGATTGTTCAGTGCCGTATCTGTAAAGGGGACCACTGGACAACAAAGTGTCCTTACAAGGATCAGCTTGAGGTTATACAAGCTCAAGTCAAGGATGATGAAGCAAAATCTGCAGTTGATGCTGGTAATGAATTAGAATAAACCCCACTTCTTTTAGAAAGCTATTTTGATCATTTTAGGCCAAGTTAGATTTGTATAATTAACAGGATGGTACACATATTCCAGATAGAAAGGTGTTACTTTTTCGTGTGGAAAAGTTTTTGTGACAACATGATGCCATGGTACAGTATTTATGCCAAAGCCTTGGTATTGGTATTAAGTTGACTGATGTATTGACTTCAACCAGCCACTTGTCTATTGATTGCTAGTTACTGGTAGTAAAGATTAAGCATCACTATTGTTGTTGACTCATGACATGTTTTGTGCCTTAGGAAACTATAAACTATCATTTTACTTCTCCAGTCACATCCTGCAAGTGTGCTGTTCATGTACAGAGCTTGCATGATACTTTTCCTGATTGGTTAATACTTTGATGATCCTCTATGGGCTTACATGTAATGTACAAGTTATGAGTAAACCCTTTATACCCTAGCATCAATATGCAAGTTCTCCATACTGCTCTCTATACATCTCCCATGGTGCTTGCAAGGAGAATTTGCCTACCAATCAAGAACTTCTTTACTTTGCAATTATTTTATTTGTTCTCATGATCCTAATGTTTGATTCAGGGGTGATACTGTGAGAAGAAATTAATTGGTTATCACTCTAAAGGTGTAAAGGGTCAAATGGAATTCTTGATAAAATGATCTCTTGGAAGGTTCATCTGTATTTTTCTTTTTGTGATAATTTTAAATATTTATCCTGAACAGAGGGAAAGACAAACTAACAATCAACCTACATTTGTAATGAGGTATAAATTTTGGAGCTATGTCAACCTTCTAAGCTTTGGTTTAACCCTCTGATACCGAAAAGTGATTCATCAGTCCTGTAGTATTTCTTCTGTGTACAATATGTTAACATGCAAAGAGAGGGCTTAAAATAACTTTTCCCCCTGTGATGGTTTCCAAGCAAAGTTGTGAATACTAGTGAAAGTTACATTTTTCCCAATGATAAGCACATATAAAAAATTTTTACAAAATCAATTTTTAAGGAATTTTATCCTCAGTCATCTTAGAATCTTTAAACTCTAGAAACCATTTGTAATTTGGAAAAATAAGTTTTTGATGTTTTTTATTTAAAACATGGTGTTATTTCACTCTGTGGGATGACACTTAATTTATTGAACCTTCATTATTATTATCAAGCTATTGAAAAGAAAAACCTAGAGGGTGTTCTTCTGATTCTAATCCAACACCAAATTCTCCTCTCTAGGAAAGTTTTCTAACAGGATCTTGAGAATTAAAACTTTGATATTTTTGCTAGTGAAGTACATGAACTTGTCGATGAAATTTCTTAATTGTTTATAATAATACAGGAGGAGCAGTAGGAGGAGCTGGGGAGCAGCCACAAGCATCTAAGACTGGAAAGTACATAGCACCAAGTTTGAGAGAAGGGGCTGGAAACAGGCGTGGAGAGACTATGCCAAGGTCACAGAGAGGTATAAACCTTTTAAGGGTTTGCAGTGAGGGGCAAAAATACTTGATGAATTCTTTTGAATTCAAAAGGTATCATTACTATTCAATAGTTCCCCCCGTCCCCCAAAACAATGTTGAACTCTGAGCAGTTAGATAGAAAAACTTGACATTCAAGATGGGAAGGGTAGGGTAGACTTGCCTTACTAGGTATTTTTGAGAGCAAAATTAATTTTCTTCTCCTTGACACCTCAGAAGTTAGCGTGAGAGGTGAATCAGCAGTGGAGCTACGTACAACATGTAACATACAATGAAATGTAAAAAATTATCCACTGTTATTATTGACTCTCACCGAAACAAAATCTGTCCTTTTCCCAATTTTGCATGCTACAGTGATAGAAGAGTGTGTCTTGCAAGTTTTTTAGTTGAATGTTGATTTGACCTGATTTTCTAGGGCACAAGATAAGAGATAAAGTTGTGTATTAAAAACTACTAATTGTACTCTCCATTCAGATGAAACAGCCACAATACGTGTGACAAACTTGTCAGAGGATACTAGGGAATCTGACCTCATGGAACTCTTCCGTCCATTTGGACCAATCTCAAGGATTTTCTTGGCCAAAGACAAGAATACCAACCAGTCTAAGGTAGTGGCTCCAAAGATAATTTGTCTACTGTGTGTGTGTATTTTCCAAGGGATTGAATTTGTGGGAGAGAATGAATTTATCTCATTTAAATATGGTCTAATAGTAGCATAAGCTGTTTCTTGTCCTTGTAAACATCGACTTTTCATCTTTGCAGAAAGGGGGTGGGGGGGGGGAAAGAGTTGCTTTACTTAACACTTTAGCTCCCGTGAGTGACCAAGACAGAATTTCCCCTTACTATATCTATGTAATATCATGCAGATAACTGATGAGAATAAAGGAAAATATCAATTATGGGATTACCAATTGATCCGTTAAACCAAATTCTCCAAACTAACATAATGAGAATCATTTGGCAGACAGTAAGGAGAATTACAAATGAAATCTTGGGAGTTTAGGTGTTAACACTGAGTCAAAAGATTTCAGGTTCAAACCTTGGGCAAGTCATTGTGATCTATGAATAACTGTAAATATATGCAAATCATATATGTGAAATGCAGATGTAGAAATGAATATGAAAGCAATCTTTGTAGTAATGAACACATTGTGTTGTGTTTAAGGGCAAGATATTTTACTCCTGCTGTGCCTCTCTCCAGTAGTATATGTAAGTGCAGGTGAACTGTCACAGAAATCTGTTGAAATACTGATGGGTAACTTGTGATTGACTAGGGTCCCATTCAGAAGGAGATATTGCAATACTCTTTCTTGCTTCTTGCTGGAGAAATCTGTCCCAACTAGAGGCTTTTAACCTTTTACACCTTAACACCTGTAGGCATATTCTCCATACTGTTCTCTTTACATTTCCTAAGGTGCTGACAAGGAGAATTTGTTTAAAAATCAAGAGCTTCTTTAGTTGGGGATCGTTTCTTTTATTCTCATGCCCATAATGTTTGATTCAGGGGTGACATTTTAAGGAGAAATTAGATGCTAATCACTCTCAGAGGTCAAAGAATAAGGGGTGGAAGCTTTGAAAAAAGTATATTTACCCTTTTTACGCTTTCTGTTCTGCAGGGTTTTGCATTCATCAACTTCGTCCATCGTGAGGATGCCGCCCGAGCTATTCAAAGTGTTCAAGGATTTGGTTATGATCATCTGATCTTGAGCGTGGAATGGGCCAAGTAAGTTGATGTTTTGAAAGTCCTTTTTTGTGGGCATGTATCTGTAAGAATATATTTGTAAGATCCATGCACTTCACATTACAACTCTACTGCGTACATGTACATGTTTCAGGGTTCGTAAGAGTCTTGATTTCTAGAAAAATGAAAACTTTTGGAATTAATGTTTGGCTTGAATTAGTGCATCATTTCTGAGTGTTCTATGTGAGGCAGCTGAATTACCAAAATTTACCTCAGCTGATACGGTTTAATGATGTGATCGAAGACTTTTAGTGTTCAGTCTTAATTAAAGCAGAAATTTGTACATGTTTCTCTCCACAGACCATCAACTAATCAGCAATGAGAAGCAACCAGAAGTGATGTGTGTCATTCGTCCCTTTAGAAAAAGGAAGATAAATGAATAAAAAATATATCATTCCATTATACTTGACCTAGTGCTTGAACCTCTTTTAGAGCTAGAGAAACGTTTGGCCTGACTTTTGTTTATAGCTTGCTTACCCTATCATACAACAATTTTTTGCCCATCTGCAAAATTCAGAGCCGTGTGACAATTTTTACTAGAGAATAAATACAAGACCATGTCAAAGGCAAGTTTGGCATTTTATTATATTTGTCAGTTAGTGCCTGCGTCATAGTTTGTCAGTTATGCGGGCCGTTTTTTACTGAACAGGCCGGTAAACTCAAAAGTTTGTTTGAATTGAAATCTTCCCATCTTTGAACCCAGAGTGATGATTAGTATCTTTTGAACCTCGTTTTGACGGTGCGTACTGTAAGTTCACAACACAGAACCTGCTTTTCTCTTGTAAAACTGGGGCTTTGTTACCATAGCGATGGAATTGAAATCAATCGAAGGCAGTACAAGGTCCTATTGTGAAGGCTTGCCCCTTGTCCGACTTTTCTTTTTAAAAAACGTCACGTATTTTAAAATGACTGCTAACTTTTACAGAGTCGAAATAATGTACTTCCTTTGCCCAACGAAAACGTAGTTTTAAAATGCTAACGGCACTCGGTGTTTTCATTTTCATTCCGTGCGAATCTCCGACAAATTGAAGGAATCCCTTAAGGCCGTAGGGAGAAAGGCTTTATGTTAATCCATTCTTATAGAGAGGGGTTTTCTACTTAAGTTCAGTTAGATAATAGACTAATCTGCTCAATTGAATAATAGCGCCCGGTACGTTGCACAGGACGGACTATTAAAAAAGAACTCCAATAGAATAGTGGGTTAGGAAAATCATTTACTCGCACTCTAGAGTAAATATTTATCATCTATTTTTATTTAATATTCTTTTTGATCAACAAATGAGCTAATATTCATAATGTTCCATTCGCCAATATTCCATTGGCTATTTTTCTTTTCGCTCTGACGATGAGCTAACGCACGAAATCTCTCTTTTTGGAAACTTTACGGTGGTCAATTTATATTAACTCGGTTGATAAAGCTAAATTAATAGGCTAATTTTCGGCTAGGGCACGTTTTCTGGGGAAATTCGGAGACGTGAGGTGGCAAAGCACACAATTCCTCTCTACTGACTCTATTGTGTAGAGTTTTGACGGTTTATTGACAAGGGTCGAGCGCACCCACGTCCCGTTCTGAGAAGTTTTCCTGACAAGGAACAAGGGTAAGAATTTACCCCAACACCTGGAAAGGAAGTTCTTTGCGCACAAAAATATCGATAAGAATCTTAACACCACTTGCAAGAAGAACAACTGCCAATACAATGGCGACTATATGATCTAAATACCACACGTAAGTGTATTGATCCACAAGTAAAGTACTTATTGCCATACCCAGCAAAAGACCACTTGTGACTGCGTCGTCAATACACAAAGAAACGAGAACTGAACTTTGGTATCTCTTAGAGATCCAGAACTCCAAAGTAGCTAAAAGACAGTAGGTAATGCTAAAACCAAGAAGAGCAGGCCACAATAAGTTCGCATGTCTGGTTCTTTTTTCATCTTCCAAGTTAAAACTAGATACTATAATTGTTACGAGACCATTGAAAGTAAAGGCGATACCAAAGGCAACTGATCCGTATCTTTCCCTCCTTGGCCCGATGACCTTCTCATCCGAATAGTCCCGGAAACGCCAAATAACAACAGCAGTACTGAAAACTGCGAGGAGAGTGTCGAGCGCAGTGGCAAGGGCAGAAGAACTATCTGTTGTAGCCGTGCCGTAAAATGCAGCAGCCGAAAAAAAAATTGAAGTGATCAGGCTCGCAACTGAAACAGCAACGATGGCTCGTCTCCATTTGTATCTTTCGTGAATTTCCAATACCGATTCCTGTTTATTAGTGCCGATGTCGTCAGCAGAAACACAAGGTGAATGATCTAGACCTCCTTCGCTTCCCGAGGGATTGAATTCAGCCCTGAAGTTTGTTGCTAATTTAGGTGAATGTGTTGGTGACTGCCAACCTCGGACAGTATTCTGTGAGGAAAGCGGAAACATCTGTCGTTTCCCTATGTCTGGTTCGCTCCTTGCCGATTCCACGATATATCAGCCGATGCAAGTTCTACCTAGGGAAATGTACTGTGTTAAAGACTAACTTGTGGATTATTCAATGTTTCCTTAATGAGATATGCGAATACAAAAATACTATGCTAACTCAATTAGCATTGGTACTTAGTCCCTAGGGATTTTGGATATAATAGATTGTTTTGTATCACTCCTTGTCACTTTACTTGAGGCCTTGGGCTGTGTTCTGCGCATCGAAGCGTTTTCCCACCCACCCCACCCCCGGTCGGATTGATTCGTCTCACCATCACCCCTTCGCCTGGCTTGGGCTTTCCCGGCCAGAGCGATTCTCCATACCTTATTACCATCTCATGAATAACAATTCCTAGGGAGGAATATTACACTGTGTGTGCATTGTTGTTGAAACAATCGAGAGCAGAAGTCATCTCTTCATGAAAGTCCTCCTGACACGGAATTTTTTTTGCCTAAATATTTAGCTCATCATACGGAACAAACCAATTCCGATAGAAGAAAAATTTCAAAAAACTTAAAACTCGGTTTTTTCAGGCCCTAAAATGCTCTTATTTTGTCTTAAAAGTGTCCCGTGGACTAGTAACGAACGAATTAGCGTTTCGTGACGTAGAACCGACACTATGAAAACTGACAATGACGGTTTCTCGCCTTTAGTGTTCAGGTCGAGATTAGAGCAAAAAATTCCCGTTACTCAATATTTACTTTATTGCATTTGTGTTTTGTTTTTTATGGCGAAATCTATATTAAGAATGGGTTGGGTAAAATTTCCGCACAGCCCCATACTATCGACATATATGCAGATGATACAACGATCTGGTCGAGCGGAACCAATTGTACAGATATTCAAAACACTCTTAATAATAGTCTAGACAAGGCCAACAGTTGGTTTAAATTGAACAGGATGATACCAAACACAAAGAAGACCAAACACCTGCTAATTGGTTCTGTTCAAAGGCTATCCCAAAGCAGCGAGACTACAATGGAAATTTATATCGATAATATCAAATTAGAGGAAGCGGCAGGGGAAAAGCTGCTCGGAGTTGTCATTGACTCAAACCTTTCATGGAACTTACACATTGACTGTTTGATTAAAAAGTTAAACTCTAGAATATGTCTCCTTAAAAGAGCAAAGGTTTATTTAACCTTTGCTTGCAGGAAAATGTTATACAATGCCCTCATCAAGCCAATACTAGAGTATTGTTGTACGGTCTGGGGCAACTGTACCGTTGGTAATCTCCAAAGAGTTTTTCGACTACAGAAACGATGTGCTAGGCTTATTTTAGATGCTGATACTCACAAAAACTCAGTCAAGCTTTTTAACAAATTACATTGGCTGCCTATAGATGATATCATACGTATTAGGAAGCTTTATTTGCTTCATAAAATAAATCAAGGACATTGCCCGGCTAATTTTAATAAATATATTGAATATATAAGTAACACCCATAATTATAACACGAGATCCGCTTCTAATATTACAACACCAGCTTGTAAAAGGAACTCTGGCCTTAGAACGTTTCACTCAAGCGCTAGCCGTTTGTGGAACGCTCTTGATCCCGAACCAAAGACACTCTCTCATACTAATTTTAAAAATTACTTAGTTAAATTTTACCGTAGTATGACTTCTTTTCTTGATCATTTTAAGATTTGTAAAACTTTTTAGTTTCATTAGTAGTAAATCAATCAATATTGTATTAATAGTAGTTCTTAATGTAGTTTTAGTTTGTAGATTATATAGGTAGTCAATTATTCAATCGATACATTTTAGTACTTTAATTGTAGGAGGGCCATTATGAAAACTACTGGGTGACCAGTAATCAATGTCTTTACCCTCGTTAAATAAAGTTATTACTTACTTACTCACTTACTATTGTAAAACAAATCTGACTTCCCAGTGGCAATGTATAATTTTTTTTATTGTTTTCTCTATCCAAGAACTGAATGCATAATGTAGGATGGGACTGTGCAGAAATTGTACCCTGCGAGGTCTCCTTTCCTTAGAGATTGCAAAGACAGAGGCTATCGTCGTGATCGTCGAGCCGGCCAAACCGAACAGAAAATGGATGAGTTTATAGTCATCTGATTCAAGGGCAAGGGGGAAATGATGACTCGTGGGATGGATTTTCGGAAACCTAGGTTAGGAGAATACATGGCCCCTTCGAGCTTGTCTTTAAGCCAGTATCCACCAGAGGTTTCGCACTGTTCACGCAACAGGATATCGGTCAGGAAAGCTCAGGAAAGGGCTTGAACTGCATCACAAATGATGCATTTCTGTTATCAAAATACGATGGAAACTACAATTGGTAGGATTTTCACTCAATCAGAAATTCGCAAATGTAGCCATGTGGAACAATCGTGTTTAACAATCGTGTGCGGTGTGGGAACAGGCCTCTGAATCTAACAGATTCCTGAATAATTCGAATGAAGTTTTCCAGGTATGAATAATTTAAAGCATCTTAAAACACCAGCCGAGGTTAATCTGAATCGCAAAGCGCTCTTAGTTACGTTTTTTTGTTTCGTCA